ATAGATCCTTGGCTAACATGTTCTGATGATACCTAAATTTATGGTTCAGCAATGTTTATCAACTTAGATGAAATTGTCCTTCCTGCTGAAAATTGTATGGGCTGAAAATTGTATGGCCTCAGTCAATAACCCAATGAACAAAATCAAATTGTTGTTGAATGATGATAAAACAAAAGTAATTCTGGCAGGCAGTGTTTGACCACGATCACCTGACAATTGGTGAAGCAAAAATTACATTTTCAAAAAAAGTTCAGAATCTTGGCATCTATTTTGATTCCAGTTTATCAATGTAGGTAAATCATCCGATCAGCTGCATGTACATGTATTTAGAAATAAGAAAAATTAGTAAAATACGTCATCTAATGAATACTAAGTATACTGCTTAACTAGCTTTGTTTTTATTAAGACTCTATTATTGTTACTTCTTGTTATCAGGAACATCACTGGAGAAAGTTAAAAGACTTCAAACTGTCCAAAACAATGCTGCACGTTTAGTTTTACGGAAAAGAAAGCGAGACTCTGCTAAACCTCTTTTACGGACATTGCATTGGCTTTCTGTTGAGAAAAGAATTGTGTACAGGTTGGCCTCCCTATGCCCCAAATGCTTGAATGATAAAGCACCATCATATTTATCGAATCTGTTGAAACTGTACATTCCAACTTGCAGTTTAAGGTCATCAGATGACAAAAAGAAATTTCTTTTACCATCAATGAAACTTAAAACAATTGGTGAAAGGGCATTTGAATATCAATGCCCAAAGATCTAGAACGCTTTACCAAGTACTTTAAGAGAGATCAAATCCTTTGATCCATTCAAATGTCAGCTGAACTCATTTCTGTTTTTGAATTAATAAGATGAACATTTGGAGAGATTTTCTTTTGGTCAGAGCACAACGTTTTATGTTACTGTTGTATTGTATTGTAAAGCGCTCAGAGCCTGTGTACTTTTATCGGGTTCGAGCGCTATATAAAATTATTATTATTTTTATTATTATTATTATTATTATTATTATTGTTGTTGTTTTTAAATTATTATTATTATTATATTATTATTATTATTATTATTATTATTATTATTATTATTATTATTATTATTATTATTATTATTATTTTTATTATTATTATTTTTATCATAATTATTATACTCTACCTGTCAGGGAGCTCATGGCTAAGAAGAGAGGGAGTGCTGTTGATGCGGCCATTGCTAGCATGTTATGTGTGGGAGTGACAAGATTCCAGAGCAGTGGACTTGGTGGTGGTCATTTCTCGACAATCTACGACAGGTGAGCTATTAATTTTGCCATTAATTTTGAGTTTTATTCTTTAAGGCAAAATGAAGACACATTTTTCTCCATTTTGAAGGGGGGTGTCTCTTTTCTCTGTCTTTGTCTCTGTCTCTGTCTGTCTGTCTGTCTGTCTGTCTGTCTGTCTGTCTGTCTGTCTGTCTGTCTGTCTGTCTGTCTGTCTGTCTGTCTGTCTGTCTGTCTGTCTGTCTGTCTGTCTGTCTGTCTCTGTCTGTCTCTCCCTCTCTTTCTTTCTCCCTCTCTACTATTGATAGAGGGAGAGACAGACAGACAGACTGAGAGACAGACAGACAGACAGACAGAGAAAGAAAGAGAGAGAGAGAGAGAGAGAGAGAGAGAGAGAGAGAGAGAGAGAGAGATGGGGGGGGGGGGGAGTTATGTCATGGTTACAAATGCATTAAGCGACTTTATCGAATAGGTTACATCAATTAAAGCGTGTAAGGTCAAAAATCTATTCTGTAAATAATGCTTTCCGTTGTGAATAAACATGCTCTCAAGTAACCACGCAAAGACAGCTGGCTTTTACCGGCAGTATATGTTGATTTTTATCATAACTATTCGTTTCCGTTAAACATGTGAGTTTATTTTCGGTTTTTAACATAATTTAACTATTACTTTCGTTTCACATGATTTCTTCCTTGTGGCACCACAACGGCTTCGTCTAACTTTTTCGAGAAAAAAACCCCAAACCCTTTTACTTCTTACTTTGATATACTTTTTATACTTTTAGCCTCCTTTTTTGTTTTAGTAAGAGTTTTACGACACCTGCAACACAATAAGGTCATATAAGTGCCGGTGATCAGAGGTGTTACAAGAGAGTAACAGACACAAAAAGGAGGAGGAGAGAACAGGATGATAGATGTTAGATAGGAAAGAAGGAGCAAACCACACCAGAGCACTCGCCAACCACCCACTTAGCCTCCTTTTACTCTAGTTCAAGCATATTTACATTTGAACTTGCTATGTGTTACATCTGAGATTTCTATGTTTACACTTGAACTTGCTATTGTTGTATTAGGACTTTTTTATGACGTCATTTGTATATTTGGATTTACTAGGTGTATTTTGGTCTTTCTTTGCGGGCTTTGAATTTGTTGTATGTATAAATTATTTGAACTGAAAAAAACTATATTATTATTATTATTATTATTATTATTATTATTATTATTATTATTATTATTATTATTATTATTATT